TCTTTGGCTCAGGGCATGTTCCTGGACTACCCGGATCAAGTCCTGCATTGGGTTCCCTGCATGGAGCCTGCTTCTCCCTCTGTCTGTGTCTCTGCCCCCTTCTCTCTCTCTCTGTGTGTGTCTCTCGTGAATAAATATATAAAACCTTAAAAAACAAAACAAAACAAAACAAAACACCTGGGAAGATCCAGACCCATAAAGGACTGCTCCCCAGCTCTTCCAGGAGGCAGTTTTCCCTGATAGCAATCGATCATCTCTAGCCTCAGTTGAACGTATCTGAGGTTTCCCTGAAATTCCCAAGAAGTATGCACTGATGTACACTATACCTTTGCCCAGGAAAATGGCTGTGTCCTGGGTGAAGTAGAGTAAAAGGAGAGGATTTTGATTGGATTTCTCCATTCCTTGGCAGGATAAAGGCTACTTCTTTTCTGTGGGCTGGGAATGTTGGGCCCTTGGCTGGGGAGGGGGTGGGGGAGAGAGGAGCTGAGGACACTGCCCTGAGGGCCATGCTTATCATTTTCCTATAAATGTGTCTCCAGAGAGGTCATTCCATCAGGTCCCAAGCCAGGAGGAGAGTGGTCTGAGGGTTCCAAAGACTTGGCAGCATCACCTTTGTCTTCTTGGAGGAGGCTCTGCCTGTGAGAAGAGACTCAGGTAAGGCCAGCCACCCTAAGTGACAAACACAATGTGGAGAGGACATTTATGGAAATCCTCTACTGTAGAGTCTTTTTTTTCCACTCCTCAACATGAAACTATTCATATTTTTAAAATTTGGAAGTGTATATTTATTCATTCACTGAAAACTGAAACTGAATGTGTGCTGAATATCATAAGTCATAGGATCCTGGACTTCACCTTGTCTTTTAGGTTCCACTGGGCTTTCGCATGGCAGTCTTACTCTGCATTTTCCCCTTCCACCCAGGTCTGGGGCTCCAAATGTTTAGCACCTGCTTTTTCTATTTGCATCCCACCGAACCAGTGACTGGCAAGCAATGAGCTCATTGACTGGGAAATCAAGTCTCTCCACTTGCTTACCCAATTAGCAGAAACCAATCTATTTGAGTATATTCTCTCTCTTTCTCTCTCTCTCTCTCTCTCTCTCTCTCTCTCTCTCTCTCACACACACACACACACACACACACACACACTGCAACTCAGAAGAAAGCGACTATTCCTTTGCAGACAGATGGAATGATGCTCTGGGAGATAAATTCATTCCGTTAGAGCAATACTAGCAAGAGAAGGATGCTCAAATCTTCCAGGTTCCTGGTCTTTCTTAGGGACATGATCCTTCCTGGAGGGAGTTAAGAGGCAAGAGGGTCGAGCATTATGGACTCCTCCACCAAGACCCCCACCCTACCCATAAATCAATTTCCAATCTAACCCCTCCCTGGGGGTTGAGTTACAAACCTCAGCAACCCCAGGGCAGCCTGCCTGGTAATTCCTATTATTCAGCTGTCAGCTGGTTTTTTTTTTTTTAAACCCTCCCTTCCCAGTGATCCAGTTACCAGAGTTTTAGAGCCCATTTCTTGTCTCAGAGAGAAATCCTATAGCCAGGTGAAACAATGGAGAGGGCCGCTGCCTGCTTTCTATAGGGAGCTGGGTTTTCTCTTCTGTTGAAAGCAGCCTCCTCTTAACTCTTTGCATCCCTTCCAGATTGTTAGGAGGGTCTGACTCCATCTCAGGCCTCCATGCTGGTGCCTTTCAGAGCAACTTTGCCTTTCTCTGGGGACCTTCCTTCTAGAGCCATCATAAGGAGAAAACAAACTGGTACAGAGGTGGGAAGAGAAAGAAAGAGAGAGGAAATTCTCCAAAATAGATAGCTGTGGCCGGCGGTAACCAAGGCATTACTGTGGTCAGGGGTTCAGAGCCTCAGATCTCCAGCCAAGCAGGTCCTGACACTGCTGAGTCTGCCCTGCGCTGGCAGGGAAGGAACGGTATGGAGGGAGGAGTCTGCTTTGACAGTGATGAGAGGTGGGGAGTGAGGCTCCTGACCTCCCTGACCCCTTTATCCCTGACAATCTTTTCTGGTCTCTGCAGCTCAGAAGGCTGGGCCCCTGCTGCTTGACCTTAGGGGCTGAGAGCACAGGAGGCCAAGCTACTGGGTGTCCTTCAGAACCGTCTGAGAGAGGGGCTGGGAAGGCCTGGGAGAGAGGTCTTAGAAGAGATGACACTAGATGGTGTGACCCTCCTCCCATCTTGCAAACTACCCAGATCCACTAAGGTGATCCCTTTTGCTCTCAGCCCTACTCCCCTACATTGGTGATTTTTAACTTCTTATAGGGCCATAGGCCCTTTTGGGAAACTGTTGTAAGCTATGGAGACACCCCTCAAAATGTTTGTGTGAGCCCACATATACAATTTAGCCAATTTCAGGGGTTCATAGACCCTACAACTAAGGACACCCTGGTGAGTCTGGCAAGTACATGGATCCCAGATAAAAATCCTGCTCTACCATCTTCCTTGCCTTGTGGCCCCAAATCTGCTGTGATGAAGCAGACAGAGCAGTAGCAGCTTGGAGCAAGGGTTGGGGAGTGGAGTAGGTGAAAAGATAAGGGGAATTAGTATGACCTCTCCCTCTCAGGGTCTATGATGCCTGAGAAGACAGGTTCAGAACTGCTGAGTCCTTCAGTTCCATTCCTGATCCTAAGTAATACACATGGTCATTACTGGCCAGCTTGAGACATTGGCCCAGGAGGAAAGCCATTAAGAAGAGAAGGATGGAAGGAAGGAGGGGAAAGAGGTCTGTGCGTGGTGAATGTGGCAAGGGCTCCCCAGTGCCCTGCATGGAAGCTGGGCTTGGTTTCCTAATTTCCCCACATGTGGCATGAATGCTAGGTCACCATGACCAGGTGACACTCCCTCTTAGCCAAGCCTCCTGGCAAAGTAATATACCTCCTTTTGGCTCCAGCACCTCTTTCTGAACATCCGTCAACTCCTGGAGGATTGGGCTGCTGGCCAACCTTGACCCTCACCTTTTCCCCTTTTCTCTTTTCTCTGGACTTTGGAGATAGTGTTTTCCTGCTCTAGCAACCACAGCCCTCAATATGCCTGGTTGGCTCTCTTTCAGGTATGCTTTGAGGGAGCTCAGGGAAGAATGGGTAGGAAAAAGGTACAAGGAGACTTCAGGCTCCTCTGGGCTAAGCATTCCAGCTCCACTAAACTTAAATCTGCCTGAGTTTACAACCAGAGAGAGCAACTTGATGGTCAGAGGACTGTCCATCTCGACTATCCCTGGGGTCAGGCCCGTCATCTACCACCCAGTCTATTGCAGTGACTGGCTCTCTCTCACTGATTTTGGCTTCTTTTATCTTTCTTAAAATTCCGCCTTAGTCAAGTTACTCTCCTTCTTCTTCTTCTTCTTCTCTTTTTCTTTTTTTAAGGATTTTATTTATTCATGAGAGACACACAGAGGCAGAGATATAGGCAGAGGGAGAAGCAGTCTCCCTGCAGGGAACCCGATGCAGGACTCGAACCCAAGAGCCTGGGATCGCGACCTGAGCCAAAGGCAGACACTCAACCACTGAGCCACCCAGGTGTTCCTCTTCCTTCTTCTTTTTTTTTTCTTTTTTAAGATTTTATTTATGTATTGATGAGAGACACATAGAGAGAGGCAGAGACATAGGCAGAGGGAGAAGCAGGCTCCCTGTGAGGAGCCTGATGGGGGACTGGATCCCAAGATCCTGGGATGATTACCTGAGCTGAAGGCAGATGCTCAACCACTGAGCCACACAGGTGCCCCCAAGTCACTCATCTTCTATAAAAAAATCTTTGGTGGCTCCCTTTTGCCTCCAGTACAGATTCTCCAGCCTAGCATTGCATGGACACCTATGTACTCTGACCTGAATCTATCTGTCCATGACCACCCTTTCCCAAATCCTGGGATGCACCCAATGACCCCTCCTTCAGCCTTCTCTGCTCCCAGGACAGATTCTCCAATTCAGCATTTTATTCTGCTGCCGTAGGCTTAGGGTACTTTACCTGGTTTTCCTTATTGAAAAATCTCCCCATTCTTCAAGGCGCAACTCAAAAGCCATCTTCCTGAAGCTTTCCCCAGTGTTTTGCGTCCTGAATTTTTCTGCGGCTTCCAGCAGTCCTTGTCCCTAAAAATTAACACATTTCATGCCACATTCCATAATTTTCAAATCTTCCTCTCCTGAATAAACTGTAAGCTCCCTGAGGACAGGCACAGGGTTTTGGCTCCTAATCCAGTATTTGGCACAATGCAGGTATTCAATGAATGTTTGTGAAGTGGCCTGGGGACTTCCTTATGGATAGCAGGAGATCCACAGGACACATAATCTTCTTGGCAGCACAAACCCCATCTCTGGATGCTGCCATAAACAGGATGTGTGTCAACTGCTCGAGGAGCCCCTGCATTCTTGATCTCTCCTCTCCTCGGCTACATACTTATTTTGTAAGTGTCCACGCCCCCTCAAGAAGAGGCCATGAGGGTCCCTCTGGATGTGTTAGATCTGAATGTCACTCAGTAGTAACAGTGCCAGACGCACGTGTCCGCATGCTTCCCCAAGATTCGCGCCTGGAGTTTATTTCCGCCGGGCTAGGCAGGCGGGAGGGTGCTTTGCCACCAGGCCGGGGTCCACAAGGACACGCACCTTGCCCTCGACGGACGCCGCCGGCTGCGTCCTCCTCTTCTCCCTTTCTGGACGCTCCGTCATTATTCAGACCATTCCCGAGAAAGAGAAGACAAAAGTCATTTTGGCGCCCCCTCTCTCCCTTCTAATAGAGAGGACTCAGGGCCGTTCCGGGCCTTCCCGGGCTTGCACTCGGGATCGGAATCTGCGCGGACTCCGGCTCTCCGATTGCGTTTCTGACGGGAGCCGGAATTTCGCTCGGCCCCTTGCAGTGTTTCCAAGGGAAGGTTGGTACATTCGTGACGGTCCCTGGCAGCCGCCCAGCCCGGGACTCGGGGCTCCGCTCGCCATTGGCCGCCGGGGGCGTGACGCGCCGGAGGCGGGGCCTCATCAGCTGTTTGCGGGATGCCCCGAGCGGGCGTATTTTGGAAACAATACCGCGCGGTGCACGGTGGCCTCCTCCCGCGCCGGCCCGCCAGCTGCCGCCGCCGCCCTTGCCCGCGCCTCCCGCCACCCGCCGCAGCCCGGTGAGCGCGCGGGCGGCCGGGGGCCGGGCGGAGTTGGATCGCACCTCCTCGGGAAGTGGGGCGAGGAGTCGTGCTGCGCATGGGGGCCCGGGAAGGGTTGGGCTGCGGGCGTGTGGGGGGACCATGAAGGACGGGAGCGCCGGGGTGCGGGAACGGGGCGCAGGACCCTTATCTAGGTGCGCTGCTCCGCGAGGGAACTTGGGGGCAGTAGCATTTCAGACAGCAGGGAGTTGGGTCCAGGTGGGCAGGGGAAGCTGCGGTTCACTGCTGAGCAGCCCTGGGCTCCCGAGAACGGCCCGGCCTCTGGATCTGACTCCGGGGTAGGACAGGGAGTGGGGGGGCGTCCAGCCTCCCTGCGGAGTCTGAAGGCTCCTCTCCTTAACAGCTGGGCTCTTTCCCTCCTTCCCAATTGACTCTGGGCGCCAAGCCCCCGAGTGCTCGTCACGCTGGACCCTGGCGCGGAGCCCTGGCATCACGACTCGGAGGCCGAGACTCTCTCCTGGAGTCACCCAGGTCTGCTGTGTGTCGTGTGGGTGTGTACGCATGTATGTGTGCGTTCCCAGATTTTAACTCCTACGGAACCTCCGAGTGCCTGGCTATTCTCCTAGGAGGAGGAGTCTTAAGTTCAGCATCCCTCTTACAGCCCTTCGGGGCTGAGATGGTTCCAAAGCGGGCTTTGGTTCTCCTTTGCTAGGAATAAAACCTTCCCAGGCAGTGCTCTCAAGAAGTGTGCTCCTCCTACCAGTTTGGACATCACCTCCTCAGCTCAGGCGAAGAGGAGCAGAGGGTCTCTTTACCATATCCCAGTTTACACTTGACTTTGCCTAGCACCCCTCAGGAGGCTCCCACGTACGGAGGAGCCACCTGCAGTTCTTGTGGAGAATGGGTAGGGTCCCCAGGGCTTGCAGAGACACACCCTATGGCTGCATTTCCCCCACAGTCCAGTCCAGGCAAGGGTTGAACTTTGGGGCCTTGCTGGGTGGGGGAGGGGGAGGTGACTGGCTTCAAAGGAAAACCCAAGACAATGACTCCTGCTTGTGATTAGCTTTGGAGGGCCCCCTCTTAGGCTGGGATTGGCAGTCTGCAGAGAGAAGGCTGAAAGTCTGGAGAAGAGCCCCTGCCAGGTGACTGGCAAGACAGTACTTGGTCCTTTCAGCAAGAAACTTTGTTTCCTGGTGCTGATAAGCTGAAGATCTCCTACCCTCCTTTGGGAAACACTTTCCAAAGAACACCATGTGCCTGTTTTGCCATCCAAGCTGGCATCTCCTCACTCACCAGGGAAGAGGGCAAAGATAGGGTCATAGTAGCTCGTGGACTGGTTGGGATGGAGGGAAGGTTGAAACAAGCGCCTGGGAGAGAGCTTGCATTTTGGAAAGCCAAGTTTCTGAATTTAAGTGAGATTCCTTTAAGTATCTTACCAGCCTACAGGCCATTTGGCTTGTTCTTCAAAGGCAAGAAAGAGACTGGGAGACAGAATTCCCAGGGGATCTCTAATTGAATCTGGCAGTGACAAACAGTATCTCTCTGAATCCCAAACCATTCAGGTAGTTGTTGCTTCTGGCTGCCCCAGGGACCCTAACAAGTTCCTGGTGTATGTGTGTGTATGTAGGGGGCTGAGTTGGGAGCTCAAGATGCTGGGTGGCTCCAAGCTCAGATTTCCAAGAACCATCAGGTGGAGCAAGAGGAACTTCTTTATTACCAAGAAACTCCTATCAACAACCTGAGTAGTACAGAGACAGTGAGTGAGGTCACAAAAAGAGGGCTGAATTTCACTTCCTTCTGTGAGGAGGGTTAGACCAATCTCAGGTTCAGTGCCGGCAGGAATGGTAGGTAGACTGTGGGCAAAGAAGATTAAAGTCATGGAGACGAGTGAGTAGGCTGAGCTAGGGGAGGCTGGCCACATTGCTGGATGTTGGACCTACCCTCTAGGCCAAGCTGTGGTGGGCAGATGGCTCTGCTCTGTTGGGAGGCCAATGACTCACTTGGGTCTTTCTGCCCTCTCTCCCAGGACCCACTCTTACCACACCGTGGAGCCGGTTTGTTGTGTTGAGCAAGCAGGGGGTGGAGACTAGGGTAGATCGGCAGCTGGGCGGGGCTTAGCAGGTTTGGAGGGAACCTGGCTGCCCTAGAGTTGCTGGCTTTTGTTTTTGCTGCTGAGCCTGGAGCTCAGTTCAGACTGAAATGAGAGATTGATGGTTACTCCTCAGGGCAGTGAGTGTGTGTGTGTGTGTGTGTGTGTGTGTGTGTGTGTGTGTGTGTGTGTGAGAGAGAGAGAGAGAGAGAGAGAGAGAGAGAGCGAGCACTGTGTGTACAGCCAGTCCCAGCACCCTCTGCCCTCCCATAGCCACTCACAGGGTCTGGTCTTGTTGACATTTCCCCAGGTGTCCTGCATGCTTGTAGCCGTTGATCATACCCCTGCTAGTGCTCAGAGTCAATAGCAGTCAGACTTCATGACCGGAACCACCCTGGGTCAGGAGAAAAGCCCAAGGTGGGGGGTGGCTCCCGGAAGGCCCAGGGAAGAGGTATGGAGCAGTGAGGCTGTCCTCAGCCTTTGGGGCAGGTGTCATCCTTGGTAGTACTTTATCACTGGTTGTCTGTCATCAGTACCTGGCCCTACTCACCCAAATAAGAAGGGGAAGCAGGAAAGAAAAAAGGGGAGGGGAATCCCTCAGCTTTGGCCTGGGTAGAAGCAGCACCCAGAGGCCTGCATTGTGCTCTAACAGGGGAGATGGAGCCGCCTCAGTGTGTGGAGGAGCTGGAGGATGATGTGTTCCAGCCAGAGGATGGGGAGCCGGGGACCCAGCCTGGGAGCTTGCTCTCTGCTGACCTGTTTGCCCAGAGCCAGCTGGACTGCCCCCTCAGCCGTCTGCATCTCTTCCCTCTCACCCACTGCTGTGGCCCTGGGCTTCGACCCACCAGCCAGGAAGACAAGGCCACCCAGACCCTCAGTCCGGCCTCCCCAAGTCAGGGTGTCATGCTGCCTTGTGGGGTGACCGAAGAGCCCCAGCGACTCTTTTATGGTGAGTGCTCTTAGCCTCAGGACTCCTCCCATAGAGACTGGGGGAAAAGAGGGGACTTCCCCTCCCCAAATGTGCACTTTGTTATTTCCTTCCCCAAATTGAACAGCAGGGGCTATTGATTCCTCGATTCTTGTCATTCTGCTTCTCTGCTTGTCATTGCTCTTCACCTGTGCTCCTTAGGCACTGAGAAGGGCAAATTGCTATGCCTGCCATCATTTCTGCCTTTTTGTCCCTTTCTGCAGGGATCCTTGGGTCTGTGGTACCTTTTGGGATTGGAGAGTGGGTACCTGGGCCTTGAGTTTTACATCCTGTGGCCCGTTGAGTGGCCCAGCCTTTTGTGTCCTGGGAGTGATATGCCTTTTGTAAATTGGCCAGTGTGGCCCCAGTGAAGGTTGGGAGATCTGTGTGAATTGCTGTTGACACTGAAGGGAAAAACCCGGCCCTTTCTGGGAGGGGAAGATTCCTGAAGGCAGAAGGTGTCACTTGGGACTTTCTGTGCTTGGAAGGGGAACTAGAGAAAGAGGTTGGGCCTGCCGGGGCTCGATGCCAGTAGAGGGGCTGTTTCCAAGGCTCAATCAGACAAGACCCCTTCATTTGTGGGCTTAAATGGTTTGCTTTATGAGTAACATGCCCTCCTCTGGCAAAGGGACAGGGTTAGACACTTAGTCGGCTTTCTTCTTTTAGCACAATAGCTTATGGAGGGAGGGGAAGGGCTTGGAGACGAACTTGCTATGTCTGATGGAGCATATTGAGAAGACACTGCAGTTATTCCCAGAGGGAGCTGCCCTGCAGTTCTTTTTGGAGTTTGAGGAGATGGATAAGGCCGGCAGGGAAGAAGGAACAGAGGAAGAAGGCAGGAGGCAGGCACCCCTAGCGGTAGCTCGACTGCCAGCACTGGGGTAGGGTGCAGCGCTGGTCTCTAGCTCTTGCGGTCTGGCCTGGGGCTCCTCCAGAGAGGAACTTGGCTATCCAGTGGGTCTGAAGAGTTTGCTCTCCCTAGTTTTAGTACCATTGTCCCGAGCTGTGGGACCCGAGCCCAGCCAGAGGAAAAAGTGAAGGTTTTCTCTTTCTCTGCCTTGCTTTGCTCAACCCAGGAACTCTGGAGAGCTGCCTCCGGTGCTTTTCCAGAGAAGAGCTTCAACCTGCTACTGCATGAAAAATAAATTGTGGTCAAGCATAGCTTGGTAAATAAAGACAGAAGACTGGCAGGTTCACCCACACATACTACTTGTACCCTGGCACTGCCTGTGAATGGAGAACTACAGGGAAGGCTGGGACCATTCCCTCCTGTTCTCTGGATGGCAGCTTTTAGACGCCTGGGCAGCCAGCAGATCTGTCTGTCCAAACCTGGCAGAGTGCCCCGATAAAGGCCTCGGCCCCAGGTCTCAGCAGGGAGCGTCAGGCACCTCGGGGTGGATAGTGGAGTTGTGGAGAATGCTGAGATGTGGGCCCTCTGTCTTCGCAGGCCACGCTGGCTACCGGCTCCCCCTCCCTGCCAGTTTCCCTGCAGGCTTGCCTCTCCTCGAGCAGCCCCCGGAAGGGCAGTGGCAACATCGAGCAGAGGTACAGATTGCCCGAAAGCTTCAGTGCATTGCAGACCAGTTCCATCGGCTTCATATGCAGCAAGTAGGCACGGGGGCGGGCTGGGGCGGGAGGAGAGTCTGCTGGGGCTGGGGGGAGGGGGTGGACCAGGACCTGCCTCAGCCACTCTGTGTCTGCCGGGGCCCCAAGGACATGGTCCCGGGGTCTTGGCCTGGGCTGCTGTGGTTCCCGTGAACTGGGTGGGCCCAACTGTCCGAGCACTCCTGCCCTCTCAGAGCTTCAAGTGGGTTACCTGCCGCCTCTGGGCTCAGGCTTCCTTAGAGCGGTTTGTCCCTCCTGGGGCAGGAAAGCCCCGATCTCTCCTGGGGAATGGGGTGGCTTCCCGCAGCCTCATCTGACACACCATGTCTGCCCAGGCCAGGTGGGGAGATCGCCCCTCCTGGACCTCAGGGGAAGATTCCCAGGGAGCCGCTTTGAAACCGGACAGTTGGGGGGGGGGGGGGCTGGCTGAGGTGCCCTGGGAGCCGGTAACCGAGGCCGCCGCCGCCGAGGGATGGGCCTGAGTGGGGGAAAGTGGTGGAACCGGTTGTAACCTGACACTTTCCAGCTGGGGAGGCTGCTCCTCATTGTCTCCGTCTGGGAACCGGGACCCGGGACTCTGGAGAGCGGACCTCGGAGAGTCTCTCCAGACGGGCGGCCCGCGCTTGGCCGGCAGCCTGGCACCAGCCCCGCCGGGGCGGAGCATCGCGTGTCAGCCGAGCATGTGGCAGAGTCCGTCAACAAAGGCGGCGGCTGGCGGGCTCGTGCTGCAGGAGCCCTCCGTGCCGCGGGCTGGAGGCGCCCGGCCCCGCGGCCTCGGTCTGGGCCGGCCCCCAGGCACTTAACCCTTCCTCCCTGGGCAGCCGTCCAGAGAGCCAGCCCAGGGAGGGACCAGGGAGGGACGGGAGCCCAGGGCTGAATCCGTGCTGGAACGGCGGCCAGGGGAGCAAAGGCACGCCACCTGGAACTGAACACATTCCCTACCTCTGGGGCGGTCCTAGCAGGCAGTGTGTGTGTGTGTGTGTGTGTATCCAGAATCAAGAGAATTCCATCATGATTGGGCAGACCCGGAGTCGAGATGGGTGACACCAGGTGATCACAGTAGGTTTGACTTCAGGGCCAATCCGTTGCCAGCCCCAGGGGAGAGAGAAGTTGTCTTTTGGTCTCCTGAGAACAGACCATCAGGGTTAGATATGGTCAGTGCCTTCTGCCGAGGAGTTCTGAGGGAAATCTGGGGCTAGACCTCGTCCCTGGGTGGGTCTCTCAGCCCCTATTAATCCGGAAGAGAATGTGGCCCTATGCTTAGGTAACAAGGCAGCCTAGCTTCTGGCCCCAGGCTCCAGTCCCTAGTCCCTCCTTTGATTGTTTTCTGGAAACTTGGCTTCGAGTCTCTCCTTAGGTCCTTGTGTGGACTCACTCTGATTCTTGATTTCCGTTTCTTGGCCTCCTTCCTGCCCATTCACTCTTGCCTGGTTATACAGGCCTAGGGCTGAGACCAGTTCCCAGCTCCCAGTCCCAGTGCTGGAGCTGCTGGAGGACACACGGTGACTGGGGGTCTCCTAGATTCATCTAGAGGACTGTCTGGAAGGCAGCCTTTCTCATTCCCGGTAGACCTAATCTCTCTCAACAGTTGTTTCCCATGCATTGGTGAGCCTCTGTAGGCTTGGGAGCAGGCTGTGAGGACAGGACCAGAACATAGCCCAGGGCCCTTTCTTCATGACTCAGTCCTGAAAAGGAGGAGACAGTCTTCATTCCAAGGTTTGATTCTGCTCTTTGCTGCTTGGCATTACTTCCCCCAGGTCAGGGCTGCCTCCTTGAGGGTATCTTTCAGCTATCAGCCAGAGCCACCCTGGCCTGGGAGGAGGAGCAAGCAGCAGAGCCAGAGGAGAACCATAGGCAAATCTCCCCTGCTCTGCACTTGACCCCATACTGGCTCCTGAGGTCCCTGTGTCCCTTGGCCCCCTGGCTGCTGTCTACTCCTGCCTCATAGTAGCAGGAGGCTGGTCAGCTAAGCCTTTCTAGCCCAGAGCTGGTTTTCCCAAATTTTCCATTACAGAGAACCAAACATTTTTGTCTGTGGAATCCTCTTGCTTTTAACCCCGTCTTTCCCTCTAACCCCACTCACGGACCTTCTCTGGGAGCACCTACATGAAAGGCTAGGATAATTTTCTTTCCCTATTCCCTTCCTTTGCAGGCAGAGAAACTGAAGTACTAGGAAGTGGTTTAGGATTAAGTCTCTAGGCTTTGTTGTTTTTTTTTTTTTTAATTTTTTAAATTTATTTATGATAGTCACACACACACACACAGAGAGAGAGAGAGAGAGAGAAGAGAGGCAGTGACACAGGCAGAGGGAGAAGCAGGCTCCATGCACCAGGAGCCCACCGTGGGATTCGATCCCGGGTCTTCAGGATCGCGTCCTGGGCCAAAGGCAGGCGCCAAACCGCTGCGCCACCCAGGGATCCCCAGTCTCTAGGCTTTGAATCCAAGGTCAAGAAGGTCCAGATTTGAATACCCGTTCTACCACCTATAGCCATCAGGAAGGCACTTGACATTGCCAAGTCCACATCGTCCTCTTCTGTAAATTAGAGCTAATACCACAGAATTTTATTGTGAAGATTAAGTGAGAAAATACCAATGAAAGCTCCAGGTACACAGTAGGTACTTGTTAATGCTTGTTTCCTTTTGTCTGTAAGCCTGATCGTCCCTCACATTTGTTCTTGTCAGTTCACAGTACATTTCCCACGCCTCCCATCAGGCTGATCCCTTAGCAGAGTTGCTTCCCCTGAGCTCCCCTCCACCTGCCCTGCATAGAGAAATTTGTGTCCAAGCTGTTCAATTGTGGACCTCGGCCTTGTACATTTCTCCACAAAGAAATGATGGCCATCCCCCATTGTCATAGGCTGAGTTTAGGGAGTGAAGGAAATACAACCCAAGTGGCAGTAAGGTGTTGGGAGGGCTTAGCCATCTCCTTTCTCCTCAGATCTGGGATGGTGTCCCAGGGCCAGACAACAGCCATTGGTCCCTGAGTCCTGTAGGGAGTGTGAGTTGCCACTTTTGGTCCCCAGTTACAGACCCTAGTTATTCTATTTGTGTATCAGGGGAATACTTCTTCCTAGGAGATGTGGAGCAGAGGGGCTGGGAGGTACAATGATGGGGTAGTGTGTTGTAGCATGGCATTTTGGCAAATTGAGTGCATCAACTTGACCCCAGATTCAAAAGGTTGCAAGTTCCACTGGATGTTGGATCTCAGTTTTTGCTGGCCATAAGCCCTCCCAACATACATCCTAGGGAGCATGTGGGGTGGGCATCTAGCCTGGTTACCTGTGTGATCTGTTCAGGGTGGCTCCTCTGGATGGAAGGATTTGAAGGCAGAAGATCACTGCCAGTAAGGCGCTTTTTGTCAGCAGTTTGGGTCTCCAAAGCAACAGGAGAGTTGAATGCTAGGTGATTGGAGGTAAAAGCCTTTCCAAACCCAATCAAATGCCCCACCTTCCTTTGGGTCAGGAGTAGAATGTTCCCCTCTTTTTTTTTTTTTTTTAAAGATTTTATTTCTTTATTTTAGAGAGAGAGAGAGAGAGAGAGTGTGTGTGTGTGTGTGTGTGTGTGTGTGTGTGTGTATGTAGGGGTAGAGGAAGAGGTACAAGCAGACTTCCTGCTGAGCACTGAGCCTGATATGGGACTCAATCTCATGACCCAAGATCATGACCTGAGCTGAAACCAAGAGTTGGACATTCAACTGACTGAGCCACCCAGATGCCCCTGGAAGGTTCCCCTCTTTTTCCTCTGCAGCAAATGTCTGGTGATGTGCTTGCCATGGCCTACCTTGACTCAGGCTCTGTGAAGTTACCTTGGTATTTCTGTCCAGCTTTTGCAGGGAAGAGGAGGTACAGGTTAGCTTCCTCACTGTGCTCATGAGCTGCTGGGGTCAGAAGATGTGGGTTCTGCTTTCATTCTATTCCACCTGCCACAGTCTTCTCCAGCATGGGCCTAAGAATGGGCAGTAGCTTCTGTCCTCCTCCTCTTAGGAAAGTCTCCTATCCCAGTGGCACCACCTTGAAATTTATGGGGGGTATTTCTGGGCAATGTTAAAAAGCCAAGAATAAAAAAAAAAAAAGCCACTGTAGACCATTGAGTGAGTAAAACCATAAGAACATTGGAATTCTTTGAGTTGGAAATGGCTTTTTCAGTTGGACCAGGAGTGGCTTCATTCAGAATAGTCAAATTTGGAGATTCCCTGAACAGTAATTAGACTTTCTGAAAAATGAAATCTGAAGAAAATGTCAGCCACTCTCTAAAAACTATCTTTAATTGCAATATTCCAGAAAGGATCCTATACTTAAAGGTAGACTCAGGTTCAAATCCTCCCTCTGTCACTTACAAGCTTTCTGTCCATAGACAAATCATTTAACTTCTGCACCTCGATTTCTAATGCTTACTTAGCAGAACAGATGTGAAAGCCCGTTGGAGATTGTAGTACCTATAACTATTAAGGTGTGGGCAGTTTAACACTTTGGGAAACGTGCCAAAAGATGATTGTAGGATTTTGCTTGGGCCTGTCTTTATAGTTCTTGGGGAGCTCGTTTGGAAGTCATACCCAGAGTGGTGTTTACATCTGCCAACAGCCTGGATCCTTTGTTCAGGGGCCCTTGACTGCTGCTACCTGACCCTTTGAGATGCCTTCCTTGTTGCTAAGTGGTTTTGGGGGGGCTCAGACTGCGGCTAATGAGGTTGTTCAGGCCCTAGATGTGGCAGCCCTGAGTAGGAGCCCCAGGGCTTCACCTTAGAGTGAGCCCGTCCCTGTGGAGCCAGCCTCTGTTCCAGCAGTGGGAGGTCTACCTAGGAGAGGGCTGGGGGCTGGGGGAGGCTGGGGAGGGCTGCTGTGCGTGAGAGCCAGGCCGGGGCTTCGGGGCCCTGTGTTTGCTCTGTGGCTGGCTCTGTTTATATCGCTCACTATATTTAGCTTCTGAGTCATCAGCGTGGCTGACTAGAGGCCGAGTTCCCCACACAACTCTGCACCTGACTACTCTCTCTTCCAGGAGAAGGGC